TACTACTACTACTACTACTACTACTACTACTACTACTACTACTACTAACATACTACTACTATACAAACACACTACTACTACATACTACTACTACTACTACTATTACTACTACTACTACTACTACTACTACTACTACTACTACTACTACGACTACTACGATTACTACGACTACTACGACTACTACGACATACTACGACGACTACGACGACTACGACTACTACGACTACTACGACGACGACGACTACGACTACGACTACGACTAAGACTACGACTACGACTACGACGACTACGACTAAGACTACTACGACGACGACGACGACGACGACTACTACTACGACCACGACCACCACCACCACTACTTCTACTCCTGCGACGACGACGACGACTACAACTACTACAACTACAACTGCTGCTGCTCCTGCCACAACAACAAGAACAACAAATACAGCAGCAACAACAACAACAACCGACCACGATGCAGCTACACAAAGAGCCCAGCCAGTCAAGCAGGGGTCACCAAAATATTTCAACGAGCCTGACCTCAGCATCAATGACTCATTGGAGCCTGAAAATTAGCAGGTTCCAGCTCCAGCCGCAAAATGTAGGCTAAAGGCGATGGCCCTGGCAGCACACGCCTACAAGTTATCTCAGCTTTGTGACATGACATGCCACAACCCCCCACTTCGTTAGCATCACTGCTTTGGTCAGAAATAAGCATCAGAAAACCAACCGACACGCTTGTAATAGGCAATGTCCAAGGGACAACTTTGGCCCATGCAAAATGGCGGCCGTCGCAAATGCTCTCCATCTCTTCCTCGGCCAAGAGCAGGCCGAAGCGCGGGCTGTTAGGAAAGAAGCTATGCTGCCAAAAGGCTATTCAAATGCCTGTATTGCCATATGCACTTGGAAATGTTCTTATCCTTATTGACCCTCTCAAGCGTGAGGATTCTTCGCCAAGCCTCTTTCTCGAGGATGCAAGGCAAGAAAGGAATACCCCATCGTTTGCAGTATTGCTCGTTCACTGCCGCCTTGGCCAGCAAAGCGGGTTTAACCGGGCAACAGTTCAACAGATTCGTTTGGACACTTCCAGTAAAAAGGCAAAATACTGTACACCCAGTTAACACCAAGTACATTCAAGTACAAATTTGGCAGCTCAACACGGGTATCATGCTGTTCTTAGGAGTCAAATGCATCCAACGGTTTCAACCGATAAATGCATGTGTCCAACGATTGTAGGTAAGGGAAATCGGGGGGACACTTCAGTTTTTCGGGCAAATTCAATCATCTTGGGGAATGTCTTCCACGTCAATCTCGGACCCTAATCGCAATGATTTCAATTCTCCTGTCAACATCACAGGAGAACTGTGAGGCCTGGGTGCAGCAGTGTGGCAATTTGCGATCATTGTCCTAATGCCGTGATTTTGCTCACCTAATTATACCGAAATTATACCTAATTATCTTTCTACATCTTTCTTGTAGACCCCCTTCTCGAGTTGCAGCTGGTTATTGCAGATTTGCTCGCAAAGCCCGTCCAAAGTCCTCATTGCTTGTGTCAACCTCCACAAATCTGGCGCGTTCCCATGTTTTCCGTCAACTGAAGCAAGCTTGACCCCCTTGAGCCAAGCCGCACATTGGAAACCAATCTCATAGGCCGAATCAAAGTTAGTAATCACCGCAAAGCGAGGCTCGCCATATGCCATCCAAGAACGCACGTCCGTCCGAAGCAAAGGCGAAAGCAGCCTGGGTGAGTTTCAGTGAACAAGCCAGTCAACCGTTGGTTCCTTCGTGTTGCGGCCGTCTGCATCGTTCCCCGTGCCAAACCCCAAAAAAGAACCGATTCGCACTGTTTGACACATAGAGACACACATCACCCCTCGTGGTGAGATCGAATCATTCCAAGCCGTACAAGAGTGAGCTCAAGCTTGATGCTGTGGCTTGATGGGTTCCTTCCGAGGATGATGCTGTTGATTCTTTAACTTGACTCACGCTCTGTCTCTGCAGGATTGGATGACCAAAGGTCGCTTTCAACACGGTGTGTCGCTGCCGATGCCCTAACCTCACTCACCTCCTGTCTTATCCGTTGGCTTGAGACTCAGCTCCCGCAAACAGATCCAGTCTGATACTGTAAACATCTGTAAGCCATGATAAAACAAAGAAATCGGTCCTAAGCCATTGGCTGATGCACACATCACCAATCATCCTCACTTCTAAGCCTCCCTCCACTTCTGAGTGCTCAGAACTGTCTCAAGTTTGTGGGGGGCGCACCCAATCCTGTGACGTGGACACCCGCTGGATGAAGAGGCCTTAGACCACACCGAGCCGCACCGTGTGGTCTAAGTTCTGGCGCCAAAGAAAACAACAGGAGTTACTTGGCGACAGTGACAAGTAGAAAACACATGAAAGCACTTGTTTCGCCAGTGGGTTATATACTAAGTTACTACCGATCTCAGCCACATGCATTTGGGGTTTGAAGGCAACAAGAGGTTGGGTAATGGAGATCCCAAACAAATTAGTTTGCATGATCTATGCAAATCTCCCAAATATGGTTGGCTTATGGATGGACAAGCCATGGCAAACGAAAGCACTGCCAGCCTTTATTACAAATCATCAGCCTTTGCAGTTCTTGTTGATGGCTCTGTGTCTCCATGGGCTCTTCAAACCGAGCGAAAGTGGGGAAAGCCTGTACAATCCTGAATTGAAAGCTACCTACTTCCCTGTGCCTTGACTGGGACATGGGTGGTGCTCACAGCAGTTTCGTCATTTTTTTTGGGGCAAATCTAGGGACCTAGGATAAAAGGACGCCCTGAGACAGCCAAACGCAACACCGCATCCGATCCCACCGCTACGGTATTGAACTCAGCTTGCCATGACTTGTGCACAGCATCACTCAGGCCTCGCGAGGTTGCAATCTGTCCACTAGCGCGCGCGCATGACAAACGCGCGAGGAGGTTCTCGATGAGACTACACCGCCACCTTCTTTTTGCCAACATGAATGATTCAGAACTGCAAAGAAATTGTCTCGCTTCCTGATTTTCTCAAGATCTTGTGACCTTCTGTCCAAATCTTTGAGTGAACCTGCCGTCCCCTTGTTCGTCGCTGCCAGTTTGGAACCGTGGACAAAAACAAAGTCATGACCAGCATTGAGCCTACCTACTTGTAGCATGGGAATTGCCCGTGGTACTATTCGCATTGTCATATCAATGTCTTCCGCCTTCTTTTCTGTATGCATGGATCCGGAACATTCAAGTGTGGGGTTCGGAATGCTTTTCTAGGCCCTGCCAGCTGGCACCGGGCTCTGTGGATAGCTGCAGGTCTGCAGTCGCGGCCAACGCGTCATGGTCAAGACATTTCACGTATGAATTTGATGAACGCCGTCCAGTGTCTTATAGAGTCACTGTCTTTGACATGTCCGTGTGACTTGATCAAAGCCGAAACACAGTACCCTCATCAATGATATGCGTTAAACATCCGAATGGGCCTTGCTGCCTCAGTAGAGCATATCTTTTGCAAACAAATGAACAAGACTCAAGACAAGTCAAAAATTGATTTCTGGAAAAACTATCTTAGCAAAAAAGCAATAATTATCTAACAAGACAACTTGGCCCTCCAAGTGATGTTTGCTGCAATACATTTGGTCCTGGCAGCCAAACTTTCCATGGTTCACCCTCATGAAGCGTTCTCCTCTAAGTGGAATAAACATCCACATCCACATCGTTTACCCCGGGCCTAAGGCAGGACAGCCTCGCCAAAGGGAGCCTGTCCATGAATGCTTCAGGACTCAGGATGATTCAAATGACATCAGGAAAGCTTGCGCAGACCTGGTGCCTGAGGGCGTTCAACACTAAGCCGCCCATCTCAGGTGACAGCCGTCCTCATCCATACGAAAGATGCTCCTTTTGCCTCATCTCTTGTGGCCGGCCTCACACTCGGACGCCAGGTCTGCAGCAAAGATCTGTCGTCCAGCTGCAGGTTGATAGGCTGCAAAGCAGGCAGTGGATCCCTCAGGAAGGCAAGCGAATCAGGGTGTGACGGCCCTGCTTCAGATTCCACTCACCGTCACAGAAAACACAAGGCTGCAAAAGACACACCTCAACATGCCCCCACAGTCGTTGCAAAGCAATTGGCCCGGTCGTGGCCGTGTGCGATCTCTTGGACTGCCTCGTCTTCTCAAGTCTTAGAGTCTTAGAGCCCAAGCCGGGCCAAACCAACCAGCTTTAGCTATATTCAGAGTATCCATTCAGCCCCTTGTCCGACACCCTCTAGTCATCTCCACCCATCTACCAGGTAGAAAACAACAAAATAAACAAAGCACATCCCGGTCACATCCCATCATCTAAATAGCCTCTTAAAACCCTTCATCGTCCGGTGGTCCACCCCCATCTAAGGTCACAACCATTGAGACTTCCTGCGCCACACAGCCGGCCTGGCATCTTCCAAGCGACTGCAGGTCCGCTACGCAAAATTGAGACAAAGGCATGCAAAGTGCGTCCAAAAAACCCAAACTGAAGTGACCAAACCGTTGGAAGAGAAAGGACAGGAATATATTCGGAAAAGGCCGACACTTCGCGTCTCACAAAATAGAATAGCTGTGGCTGGCATTCCGTGACTTTGAGGGTGGGTCGAAAAACCATACCAACAAGGAGACTCTGCTATTAAAAGGATGCAGGGTGAAAGCATTTTCATATATCCGAGCTGCCCTTGGACCCAAACTCATGCGGCAAATGATCTCGCTTCTGTGCACCATGGCTTCCCATATTGCTGACAGCAACCTAAAGAGACGTGAAACAAGTCTCTCAAACCCTGAACTCACAATACTCACAAGCTGTCCCTCACCTCCAAACAAGCACAAGGATCATCGTGGATGGCCGAGCAAATCTGTGATAGATCCTGACATTGTGCACTTCAGCGAATGTCCGAACGGACCAGGGTTTTCACAGGCTCCAGTTGAAGGAACCCATTTCGCAACATCTCCTTGGTTTGGTTTCACGTCCCGGTGTGCCGGATGTTGCCGGATGCTGGCATCTTCGGACCTTGAACGAAAACACCCGGACATCTAGGAATTCATTCCAACTTCCAACAGAATATAGAAGACCAATTGGCAATTGGAGTTCTTATTCTTCACCGCCGATCCGAGGACTGGACAGATCTTCGAAGGAAAGGCCGTCGAAACGACGTCGTTTCTTTTTTTGCAAGACCGAAACAAGACAAGTTGACGGTGTCAGCATGCGTCCTCATGCTGCTTCCACTCGTAGCAGGAGGTAAAGAAGTTTCGGTCCCCTGAAGCGAACAACATCAAGTTGTCAAGGTGCACGGGAGAATTGGTGCAACCTATCATGACCTCACCTCAATCTCATGTGTAGACTCTTAATGACTCTTACAATACTCTTCATACTCTCACACCAGCCCGCACTCATTCAGCGACTTCTGATTGAACTTCATCCCTACTGTACACGTACGAGCTGTCAGCTGGTGCCACGGAATCGCTTGGACCAGCCGCATTGCACATGCACTTGGCTGCACCAACTGCCGCAAGCATTCGCGTGCGAGTCACCGTCTGAACAACTCGTAGCTGGGCCTTGTGCTGCCATAAGACAGTGCTCTTTGGAGCAGCATTCAGTTCCAAACCTCAGTCTGCGGTCATGGCATTCCATGGCGCCCAAGTTTGTTGGCTGCATGGCCCTTGTAGTTACGAATTTCATCGAATTTCATACACAAGAAAAGGGCTGCTCTCTTTTGTAGAGACAAGACTATCAAAGACTGGCCAAGCTGGGTTTCCACATAAAGGCCGACACCAGTCTCACATTTCTCAACGCACCTTTGACATCAAATTCTTGTCTCGAGGAATGCCCTTTCTTTGTCAAAGGGGCCATCCGAAGCAGCCACTTCCTTGGGGATGGAAGATTGGGCAAACCAACTGATCAAAATCTCGACCTTCAAACTCTAATGGCTACTCTAATGAGGCTATATATATATATAGAGAGATCGCAAGTTGGTCCTCATGATTCAGCACACGCCTCGTGACTTTAACTTTATCTGGCTCTGGCCCTCACAAAACTGGAAAACAACACACAGAAACTCACCAAACACGGTGGCAATGGCTGAACATAGCTGAACTAACACGATTCATGTGGGGCCATCTCGAAATCAGGGGAGCCTCAATGAATTTCTGGTGGGACACTGGGTGGGGATATTGGTGGGAAAGCCTCCATCCCGTCCTCTCCCGAACGCACCAAGCATCGGAAGCACTCGGTGCAGGAGTCGATCTCATTGCATTCCACTGCTCGGCTAGGTAGCCAAACAAAGCTCCAGCCGAGCAACCACAGGTGCAGCTGCATGGCGAAGCCACCGATCCGGATCGAGCTTCAAAAGTCTTTCCACCAGGGATTAAGCATGATGAAACTATTCATAACATTTCAATAACCATAATTACAATTTTGACCTTCCCCTGGCTACACTTCAGATTCATCTTCGACAGGATTTTGCAGAATGGAGCCGGCTCGGGCCAGCTTGGCAAACGAAGGCAGCTGGCGCAAGAAAAGGAAGCCCGGACAGGGAGAGGCCTCTGTTGACCTCGACCGCTTTGAACCCTGCATCAAGATGCATCTGTCTTCTCTCTCTTGCATTTTGATGCTACTGATGAAGGTAAAAGTCCGTAACAGTAAAAGCCTTGAGATGTCAACAAATTGGACATGTACCTTAA